TCCATTATCAATTCATGAAAAATTTCAGAAAAATAGATATAGAAGGAAACTTGACAAAGCACATCAACAAAAAAGTCTACAGATAATATTATGCTAAATGTTGAAAGACTAAATGCTTTTCCTCTAAGATTAGGAAAAAAGCAAGGATGCACTCTTATTACTCTTACTCAACACAGTTGTGAAAACTCTAGCCAGCATGATGTAGAAGAAAAGCCAAAACATACAGATTGGAAAGGAAGAAACAGTTTGCCCTGATTTGCAGACAACATGGTTGTCTATGTAGACAGTCCCCAAGTCATCTACCCCTCAACCCAAACAAAACAACACAAAAATTGCTACACCTAATAAGTCCAGTAAGGTCACAGGTTACAAGATGAACACACAAAAAAGTCTATATACTAACAAGGAATATGTGGAGACTGAAATTAAAAACACAATACCATTTATGATAGTGCCAAAGAAAATGAAATACCTAAGTATTGATTTAACAAAATGAGTACAAATTCATATGCTAAAAATTACAAAATACTGATGAAAGAAATAAAATATCTAAATAAAAGATAGTGATAACACTGAATGCTGTGGAGAATGCCAAAAATCAGGCTCACTGAGAATACAATCCTGGTGGGAGTGTAAAATGGTTCAGCCACTCTGGAAAATAGCAGTTTCTTTTAAAACTAAAAATGGACTTAGCATACAATGTTGCAATTGTACCCCTGCATATTTATTTCAGAGAAATGAAAATGTATATTCAATGTTCAAACCTGCACATGAATCTCCATTTATTTATAATAGCAAAAAAATGGAAACAACCTAGATGTCCTTCAATGGGTGAATAGTTACATTGTGGTATGTCTTTACCATGGAATACTACTCATCAATAAAAAGGAAAGGACTATTTTTTCTCTTCTTTTTTTTTTTTGAGACAAGGTCTTGCTCTGTCATTCAGGCTGGAGTGTAGTGGTGTGAACATGGCTTGCTGCAGCCTCAACTCTCTGGGCGCAGGGCATCCTCCCACCCCAGCCTCCCAAGTGGCTAGGACCTGCTAATTTTTAATTTTTTGTAGATACAGGGTTTCACCATTGTTGCCCAGGCTGGTCTCCAACTCTGAAGTTCAGGTGATCTCCCTGCCTCAACCTCCCAAAGTGTTGGGATTACAGGTGAGAACCACCACATCTGGCAAGGAAGGGACTATTGATACAAGTGACTAGTTGGATAGATTTAAAGGGAATTCTGCTGAGTGAAAAAACTCCATTTCAAAGGATTGTACACTGTATGAGGCCATTTGTACAATATTCTTGAAATGTTGTAATTATAGAGACGGAAAACAGATTAGTGTTTTCCAGGAGTTAGGATTTTGTGGGGAGGGAGTAGGAGTGCTACAAAGGGTAACACCGTGGAGCCTTGTGGTAGTGGGACATTTCTGCATTTGATTGTGGTGGTGGCTACTGGAAGGAAGTTACACATGTTAAAAAACTGCCAAGAACTACACACACACACACACACACACACACACACACACACACACAGAGAGAGAGAGAGAGAGAGAGAGAGAGGAGTACCTGTATTATTACTGGTGAGATCTGAATAAGCTCTATGGATTGCAGCAACATTAATTTCATGGTGTTTGTATTGTACTACAGTTACATTGGGGAAGAGGGGGAAGGGTATATGAGACAATTTGGTACTTTCCTGTGAATCTATAAGTAAAAAGTTTAAAAATGTGAATCAGATTGTATGCGATCTCTTACTTTAAGTCATTTCAAGGCTCCCCATTGCAAGTAGAAGAAAATCCAGGTTCCTTACCTTAGATCACCTTCTCTCTGCCTAGCTCTTGCTGACCTCATCTCACTGCTCATCTTATTAACTGAGCTGAAACACACAAATCTCCCCTCGCACACACAGGGCTCTTCGTGCTCAGCTCCTTCCCACCTGGGAGATGTTTCACTTGCTGTTTCCTTCCTAAATAGGTCTTCATATATCTCACTGCATATCTTGTTATCATTCAGGCTCACCTCCAGGTCACCTCCTGAGAGAAGCTTCCCTGACCTCCTGTTGAAAGCATTCTATTATTCTCTAGGTCATTCTACAGTGCATTTTCTTCCCAGCACCTGCCATTACCTGAATTTATCTTTTATCTTTGTTTATTAAATGTCTTCCTCCATTGGAAGATAAACTCAAAGAGAACTGGGACCATGCTATCTCATTCATAGCATTATCTCCAGTGGTAGAAAGTGTCTGGTGCTGGATTCCAAGGGACAGCCCATACCCACCCACTCACAGATGTACACATACCTACATGTACACTAAAAAGGACTCATTTTCCTCACCTAGGTTCTGGACAGTCTCAATAAATATAATAAAAGGGTAAAGACAGAAGCGAAAACATCACCCTTCTTATTAACAAGGGATAGTTTAGAAGTGTAGTTTAGACAATGCTCACTGGCGAATCAGGCAGCCTTACCCGACTGGGTCCCAGGTGGCTCTATAGTGAATTAATCCCTTCTTCACCAATGCCAGGAACATAGGTGCATGCTAAATATTCTGTGAACAAAAGAGAGAAGGAACAAAGGCTGTGATGGATTCCTGAGTCTTTGCTCATATTGGGTCCCAAAATAAGGCACAGAAGTAGGACTGCTGATTTAAAGATATAGGTCTCAGATGCAAAAGATGCTGAGGATAGTTGCAGGCACTGGTAGGAGGCAGTCTGCAGAGTCTCCATGCCAGGCCCAGACATTGAGACGCTGTTCAAGGTGAAGCTGGGGTGGTCATACATCTTTTAATCCACCTGCATCTGCTCATTTACCTAGGTGCGGTTTCCATTATTTGGGGGAGGAGTAAGTGATTGCTGTTTCTATGAGTAGGCTCACATTTAGTACTCCTTGATGGTACAGCAACCCACCAGCCTTAATAGAGTTTATGTCTGTATCACAACTCTCTTGTCTCAAAAATAATGAAGGCACACCTAACATGTGTACTTCTTAGCTACTATAAGGTGCCATATTAATCAGAAATGGAATTTTTTTAAAAGAGAACCCTTGAGTTACAAATTGCCACCACAGCATTTCCTTTAATAAAAAATGGAAGTTTTGGGGAGCCAAGTAGATAGTCTGGAGCAGTCTGGCTATCGCTGTGAATAAGAGACAAAAAAGTAATTGTCAGCACCATCAGGAGAAAGAGAAAGAATATGGGTTAGGCAGTTACCAGTTACATGCAAGTATGAGGAATAAAAACAACACCCCTAATTCCAGCAGCCTTGAAAAAGAAAATCTTTAAGAAAGAGGAAATGTTGTTTCTACTCTGAGCCACCATCACTAAATTATCTCATTGACCCAATATTTCTCAACACATAGATAGGTCCAGCTTTTTTTTGAGATGGAATCTTGCTCTATCACCCAGGCTGGAGTGCAATTGCATGATCTTGATTCACTGCAACCTCCGCCTCCCAGGTTCAAGCAATTCTCCTGCCTCAGCCTCCAGAGTAGCTGGGATTACAGGTGCCTGCCATCACGCTCGGCTAATTTTTGCATTTTTAGTAGAGATGGGGTTTCATCATGTTGGCCAGGCTGGTCTCAAACTCCTGACCTCAGGTGATCCACTTGCCTTGGCCTCCTAAAGTGCTGGGATTATTTAAATTTCTTTTCTATTCTCTCTCTCTAGTTTGGTTTGTGTCCACCATGCAAGGTTAAGCCCACCTGTATGCTCTGTCAAATGATTCAGTGTTTTTTGTGTGTGTGTGTGTGTGTGTGTGTGTGAGAGAGAGAGAGAGAGAGAGAAAGAGAGAGAGAGAGAGAGAGAGCGGGGGGCATGGGAGGATAGAGGTGTCAGAGGTCTCTGTGTAAAAACCAGATGTACTCACTGTTCCGGAATTGTTTTAAGATTTGAAGAGCTGTCACAGGTCACTAAAGACTTGGTGTCTTAGCTTTTCACCTTGCTTTCCTGTGGAAGTAGAGACCCTGAGCACCAGAACAGCATGAAATTCAGGAAAGGGGACGGTAAAAACAGAGTTTTACTTAATGTCTATTTGTAGAAACCTACTCAGTGAAACGAACATACCTCTCCATGTCAATCAAGGAGTTCATGGTGTTCAAGGTTGCAGGGAAAAAGTCTCCACTAGTCAACATTTGAAAATGTCTTTTTTTTTTTTGAGATGAGGCTTCACTCTGTCGCCCAGGCTGGAGGGCAGTGTAATCACAGCTCATTACAGCTTTGACCTCTTGACCCTCAGCCTTCCAAGTAGCTGGAACGACAGGGTCACCATGACTGACTAATTTTTGTTTTAATTTGCTTTAGAGACAGGGATCTCTGCTATGTTGACTACGCTGGTTTCTAACTTCTGCCCTCAAGCAATTCTCCTACCTCAGACTCTCAAGTAGCTAAGACCATAAGCGTGAGCTGCCATGCCGGACCTGGAAATGTCTTTCAATCAGTAATTTACCCACATCTGTGAAAATACAGGAGCTGCACCATATAACCCACAGAAAGTGTTTTTGAGACAGACTTTGGGAATCCACTTTTCTAAGTTAGAAAGAAAATCTAAGAGTCCTCGCTTGTTGCTTAAACCTATTCTCAAGTATTTATCATTGTTTGACCCGTACTGCCATTTAACTTTTCTCCTGTTTATCCCTTTGTCCCCTAATGAAGAGAGGGACAAGGAGCATGTGTCAGTCAGGCTCCCTGCAGGAAGCAGAAGACACATTCAGATGGAGTTTGGAAAAGAATTGAACAAAGGCTACCTATTTACAGAGGTGAAGACAGGTTAGAGAAACAAGTAGGGCTGAGGAGGCATCCAGGACTAGCCACAGGGAGAAATCTGCTGCCTGTTGGCCTAAAGGGGTCTTGTGGGAGCTGAAGTCATGAAGGAGGAGCTCTCGGACTGGCGTATCAGAGGGGTCTTAGAGGGAATGCAATACCAGAACCCCTGTGCAGCGGCGGAGAGGGATGGGGGAAAAGATATTGACCTCACGCTCCTCTAACTCTTAATCTTCCACCAGCACCTCCAGCAGCCAGACCCACCTGGAACCCAGAGGACAAGGGAGCCCAAGAGATACGGCCTGCAGCAATTCACTGCTTGGGACATAGTACAGGCTACAGAAGGGCCCTGAAAAGAAGATAACAACAGCTATCATGTTGCCAGCATGGTAACGGTGGCAAAAGGAGTGAATTTTGTCAATTACTGTCGGTGCCCTTGATATTCCAGGTGAAAGAAAAACTAGACTCAGCAGATTCCCTGTGGTTAGGACCACTCAGGAGAGAAGGTAAAAGTGGATGAGAACTTTGCGGTTGTTTTTTTTTTTTCTCATAATGAGCATGACATCATCTATACTTGGGATATGCAAGGAATGAAAGAGGCAAAGAAGATCACACACTCTTAGACTGGTCTCCAGAGTAGGCAGTCCAGATTTGAAGTAACAGCCCTAGGTCTGGGACAATTTCTGGACCGCACCTGCCAGAATGTTGCTCCATTTTGCAAGGAATTCAGGCAAAGGTTGATTCAAGAAGTCTGTGTTCTTTGAGAAACTGTCTTGGCCATAGAAGAGCTGACTTAGCTCACCAGGTCTTCCATTCACAGGGATGAGCTTTTGTTGTATGGTGGCCTCAGTCTGGTTGTTTCTGGCAGAGCCTGATGTGCACATATACTGATCAGAAATCATATTGGTTGAGACAGGGATTATCTTGCCATCAGGGCTAGCTTTGTGGATGAATGTACAGAGAAGTGAGATTTGATGAAAGGTGACAAGTACTTTCCAAATCCCAGTGTTTTTTTTCTTAGGCCTGTTTCTAACTCATTTGGGCCGTTTACTCTTTCATCATTTGATAAATATTTAGAGTGCATTGTGTCAGCTCAACTGTAGCATACTCCAACTTGTGCAATGCCACAGCCCTGTGTGAAGAAGACAGACGTAAATCACAGTACAACATTGGAAGTCCTGCAGCAGACACTAACCAAGTGTTGGTGCTCAGAGGATAGAGCCTCGGGCTATCCCCTTGAAAGTCCCACACCATCTATTACTTGGCATAAGTTTTCAAGTATCTAAACAAAAACAATATTTCCTGGGAGGTGGATGGTGTTAACTTTGCCTGATAACAATTTCCAGATCTATTTTATGGAAAATATTGAACATCTCTCTTTCTATGTTTATGTGTCTCTTCAGCAGTTGAGGATACTTAAGCCTTGTCTTATCCTCAAGTGTTCTCCCTGGACCCCACTTCTCCCACTACTCGTTTCTCCCCTTTTCCCTGTATAGCAACACTTCTCAAAAGAATTTTCTTCTTTCTGGGAGGTCATTTTCTCATCTCTGTCATTCCTCATCTTCCAGCTCACTGAATCCTTTTTTACAATACCACCATGCAATCAGAAGGATTCTCACAAAGGTTAACAATGGCCAGCACGTTGCTAGAATAACTGGCAACTCTTCAATCCTTAGCTTGCTCAACTTGTAGCAGCATTTGATACTATGGATGCCTGCTCCTTCTCAAATCACTTGCTGTCTCTGGCGTTTGTGAAACACATTCTCCTAGCTTTCCTCTTCTTTCTTTGGCTATTCCTTCTTAATGTTGTCTGCTGGATTACCCTCCTCTGCATGATCTTCAAATGTAATTCCCAAAGGCTTTTCTCTGTCTCTTTCTCTTGTCCCTCTATCGTCTTTCCCTAACTGAACTCATCCCCACCCATTGCTTCAATGATCACCTATACAACAACAACACTAAAACTTTATTTCATTAGCCCCATCTTCCCTTTTGAAATTCAGATTCACATATATTGACTTTTCTGTCCGAAAAGGCATGCCAAATTCAGCTTATTTAAAACCAAACTCATGATGTCCCATCTAGCTCAAAACTGGCCTTTCGACAGTGAATAGCTCCACCACCTATGGACAAGTATAGCTTAATTCTCTACACCTTCCCTCCAATCTTGCCAAAGACCCAGTCCTTTTTTATAACCCAGGTGTCTCTCCAGTCTGACCCTAACTCTCCTTCTCCACTGCCATTTCCTAAGTCTAAGCTACCATCACCTTTGAACTGTGGCAATGACCTGCCAATTAATTTGCATAGATTCACACTTACCCATTCTCGTCAATACACACAGTGACCATTGAGAAATACAATGCAACCATGTCCACCTCTGCTTAAAGTCACTCAGTGGCTTCCTGCTGCCTGGAAGGTCAACAGCAAAATCTTTCACAAGGCCCGTAGGCCCTAAGGTGATCTAGGTCGTACATGATCCAGCCCAGGTCCCCTGCTTTAGCCTCAGCTCTTTTTCCTCCTCTTGCTCAGCCACACTGGCTTTCTTTCAGTTGTTCCTATTGTGCCCCTCCTGCTTTGGGACCTATGGAGTGCCAGTCCTTCTTCCTAGATACCCACCTCTCTTCTTTTCACTAAATTACATAAACCAACTTTTAGATCTCAGATTAAATGTTCCATTCCCAGGGAGTCTTTCTTAAACGCTAGGGTAGATAAGCCCATTTTCTTTCTTAGTCACTTCAAATTTGTAATCATACACTTCTACAGTTTTTTGGTTAATGTTTGTCTTTTTCTCTCTCCTGTAATATTCATGATGTCTGAGTCTGTTTCTGTTTTCCTCAGTATAGGATCCCTAGTTCTTAGTGTAGTGCCAGGCACATAGTAGGTACTCAATCGTTTTGGAAGAAAGAAAGCCTAAAAAGAAGGGCCCAGAGGGAAAGTGACTGAGGGTAGGTGGATTACGACCTTGGGAATTACTCAGGATAGATATAGACAATTTGGTGGATGGGTCACGATGGTGGTAACCCTCAGGCAGAAGAGAACTGTGAGGGTGTGTCAGGGACAGAAAGCCAGGTCCGCGGGCACCCTCTCTGCCTCTGTAAGGCTGTACCATGGAGGGGGTGGGGGCACACACACTAACCTGTGAGTCCAAAGACCTGCTTTCAAGGTCTGGATTTGATGCTAACTAGTGTGTCCTTTCCCTCTCATTCACAACGTCATCTGTAAGATAACAGGGTAGATTTATTATAGCAGTCAGGGCTCTTGATTGCAAAGAAGCAAATATTGCTTCTGGGCAGTTGAAGCAGAAAATGAACTGCTTGAAAGAATGCTGGCCAGCTTACAAGATTGCCTAGAAGCCCGGAGGCCCAGACCTAGAGGACAGGCAAAAATGAGGAGGACTGTGCAGACAAGCCAGGGCCAGAATGTCAGGGAGGGACCAGACAGTGGCGGGGCCACTGTGGCCGCTTGACACGCCAAGTGTCACGGCCTGCACCTGTGCCAGGAGTGGGCCCACAGCACCCCTGTACTAAATTGGCTGTGCTGTCCTTGGAAACTGGATGTTGCTGCCTTTGCTGCTACCCTCGGAAAGAATTTGCCACTCCCTCCTTCTTTGCGTCACTAACTCCTGACTCACAAACCTGAGCAGGTGCATCTGACATTCTGAGCTAGATCATATTAGAGCCCTGGCTGCCAGGGGAAGTGGAAAAGCAGAACTTTCCAGAGAAAGAGGCAGACTCTACCAGCCAGCTTCACTCTTGAGAGAGAAAGTTCCCCAGTGTAGGAACTGAAGGGTTCAGATTCTCGGTAGCCATGAACATCACATATCCAGTACTAGGCCGTCTCTAAGGTCGCTCTAGCACTAATCATCCATGTTTCTGGACACCACAATGAGAATGGACTTAGTCATCACATCAATATCCTTCCCTTTAAATCAGCAGGCTCTAAGAGCTACATCATCATCTCTCTGCTACAGACAACTGTGCTCTGTATTACAAATTCTTATTTCTAGGTACTTGAGAGACATACTCTGCATGTCCTTGCCTTCATGTTTAATTGAGCCACTGACACTATCCTGTTTTTCCTGGCCCCACAGCCCTAAAAATAGGGCATTATTGAATAGCCCAATAACCTGGTCAGAACTCTCTGCCTCCCCCCTTTTTACTCAAAGCTGTGTATGGATTCATGTTTTCAGTGAGCAGATGCCCTTTCCATTAGATGATCTATTTTTAAACTTGCCAAATGTCAATTCTCTCTCAAATGACAATTCCCATTCTCAAAGACTCACTGGTTTGTTTGTTCATTTTCATGGCGGAATTTACTCTACAATATAAAAACACCTTTGTCATTCATGGTTCTTTTCGGACAGAAGCAGCATTTTTAAATTCTTGCCTCTCCTCTCTTCTTTTTTATTTGACAGAGAGCGAAGAGAATTGATAAAAAAGGGATTCTGGAAGCGCAGGGTCCAGGATGTTGGAGTAATTTATGCGCCTTCTTTTAATTCAGTTTCCACCATGTCTGCTTCCTTTTTTTGGCATTTAAAGTAGCCAAGCTGCAGGAGCAAAGCAAACTTTATAAACTCATTCAGTGTGAATCGCTGATTCCGGTTTAATTTGTTGCTACTCAAGGTGGCATAGAGGTGTGAATATAAAGTAATATGACTGACGCTTGTAAACCTCTAGACATCTGACACATCCAAATGAATGTTGAACTCCTCAAAGAGTCCCCTTTGGATGACATTGCACCTGGTTTGACAATATTATCTTTTTACTCAAAGCATTTTTGGAATAGTTTTTCAGAATCATCTCCCCAAGTGTGGGTCAGGCCCTCCAATGTCCTTGGTGCCTGAGGAGCATGGGGTATTAGCTCAGGAGATGGTGCTGTCCCACTCTTTGGAGCTGCTGTAAGAGAGGTGTAAGTGTGGTCGCAGTGAAAAGGGTATGAGCTTTGGAATCGGATGATTTGGGTTCAAATCTTCTCTCTCCCACTTACAAGCTTGGCCATGCTGCTCAATCAACATCTTGAGGGATCAGATTCTTTGTGTAAAATGAAGAAGTTACATCTTCCTTGCAAGGTTGTGAAGGTTAAATGAATTAATGTGTACAGAGTCCTGGCACCTGGTAAAAGTTTAGTGTTAATACTGTTCTCTACTCCGCTATTTCTCTTTTCTTCTTTTTTTGTGAGATAAGGCCTCATTCTGTCACCCAGGCTGGAGTAAACTGATGTGATCACTGCTCACGGCAGCCTTGATCTTCCAAGCTGAAGCCTTCTCCTGCTTCCTACTCCCAAGTAGCTGGGTCTACAGGTGTGCACCACCACACCTGGCTAATTTTTAATTTTTTTGTAGAGATAGGGGTCTCATTATGTTTTCCAAGATGATCTCTAACTCTTGAGGTCAAGTGATCCAACCCGCCCTGGCTTCCCAAGGTGCTAGGGTTACAGGTGTGAGCCACCCTGCCCAGCCCTCAACTGATCTTCCTAATACACTCTGTCTCCAGCCAAATGAAGTTGCTTT